GGGGGGGGGGGGGGGGGGGGGTACATGTGCACAGCAATGGAAACGAGGGGCTGCTTTAGATGACCCACACAGAATCCGTTTCGCCCCAACACATTTTGTACATTCCATCAGCCGCATGGTCAAGCACCCTCGAGGCAGTTACATAGTGCTTACAACCGTCTCAGGAAGTGAAAGCACCAGAAAGTAAATTAAGTCATACGCAGCTGTCATCCGTACGCAAGGAAGTAAGCACAAGATGCCGAAAACCCTTAGCAGGATGCAGCGCACCCTTCATGCGACTCGCCGAATATCTCACGGCGCTTCGCGCTTGGTGATGTGAGAGCCTGGTCCGGTGAGAACCCGGCGTGCTCCGTCCCGGCTTTGTAGGGATGCGAGGTCAATGGTCTAACGACTACGGCATGCACGACTATGAGTACAACCATCAGCCCGCACACTGAAGGCTCTTTGACTTAGGGAGTGGACTCCATCCAGTATGCGAAGCTCAGGGCGACGGTGGTACTAGGGACTGCCGTGACTTATACCCACCACGCGACGGCCCATATGGACTGCAACTTGAGCCATGACATCAAACCAGCGAACCGCCACCGGATTATGAACGGAGTTGCACCCCATCCCCCCACATGAGGCACGATACATCGGAAGAGATGCGCCTAAGGCTATGTTGAATGCTCTGGTGGCAAATATACCACGCGATGCTCATAAAAAACACGACGAAAATCGCGTCCACACGGCACACAAGGAACAGCAGCAACAGGGACGAGTTCACGTTCGTTGAGTGCCGGTTCCCCTACCGCTCGACTCCAACAACACGCGCGAAGCCCTCATTTCGCAGAAACACGTCCACCAACACCAAACAGAAACCGTCCGTCGCTGCTCCTTCATCTACTGTGCCTTGCTTGAGGGGTAGGGAGCGAGAAGGGCGCGTTTCCACGGGGCGTTGGTGTGTGTGTGCAGAATAGTCGCCCGCAGCCGCAATCTGTGGACCATCGGCACTTTGTTTCCCTCCGACCTTCTTACCGCAAGAGGCGGAGAGGTGGTACGCCTCCTAGACCGATCTTCAAAGCTCCCAATTATTCCTCAACCAAAAGTGTACCAACGCCACAAGCGGTGACTTTGGAAACATCTCGTCGAGGGCTCTACGCCGATGTATCGGGCTCTTTTCCCGCACCAGGAGGACTCGAGTTTCTCAAAGTCGGTCATGTCGGGGTGCCATCTTGGTGGTGGACAAATCGTCTTTTTTTTTTTTTCTTGGTATGACCCAACGAATGCATCTCTATCTACAGAGAAGAGTCTACGATACATCATCGGTGTGGGGCAAGTGCCATCAGTCCCCCTCTTCCGGTACGCAGACGAGACGGGATCTGAATGGTTCTTGACCCGACCTGGTAGGCGTTACGCCGAGCACGTTTCGCCGTGACGTATGCTAGCAGGGAGGGGGGTGGCAAGGGGAGTGTGCGACTCGAAACCACCTTTTTGGCTAGCTTCGCCGACTTCGTGTCTCCCGCCAGCAAGTGTTGGCGCCGTGGCAACATTACACACACACACCGCGTCTTCACCATAACCTACAGGTGGCACCGCGCCCTTCTCCCCCTAAAGAAGGCACACGGTAACGGAAATGCACGATTCGAATTCACCTGTTCGACTAGCTGTACCGACTTCGCGCCCCCTGCCAGCATATGGTCGCGTCGTGGCAGCATTATGGCCGGGGATCGAACGTGAAACCTGGAACGCACCGGCAGTTGTCCAGATCCCCTGGGGCGGCGTTCTTTTCTCACCGGCGGCTTGGGCACGGGACTCCCAAACATATACACGAGGGGGAGGGGGGGGCACCACATGCATGGCCAGATTGGATGACCTTGACTTGGTAAAAAAACTCCTTCTCTATTATATCTGCTGAGAAGAGCAGGTGGGACCGCATACGACCCATCGTTAGGTTCATTATTTGAACTTGGTCTATTCTATCTCTGTGGCTGTAGCTTGAAGGCGGCAGGCACTGCATGCCGTAGTGAGCGGGCGTGTGGGACACGTACAACACTCACCTCCTGCGAAGCTCTTGCTCGTAGACATACTCTAGCACGTCGACCGCGAATCCGAGGTCAAACTTCCCGAAGTGGAGGCCGTCGATCTCCTCGACTCCTTCCTTGCCCCTGCTCACCCGCCCACGCAACAAAAACAATCACAACGTGGCACAAGACGACGGCGACGACGACGACGACAAACATGAGCCGCGAAATCATGGCAACGGCACCCACGGCATCTCATCAGCAATGGCGGGAGGTGGAGGCGATCACAACCACAACATACAAACAATGAGAACTGCAGCATCCACGACAACCCACGGCAACAACAACAGCCACGACATCTGACAACACCCGTGGTGGACACGCCGGGGGACAAAACAAACACTGCTGCGCTCTCGACTACAACACGGGGATTGCGTGGGGGAGGCCGCAAATAGTTTTGTGGAGGTGTATTCTCGTCCGCTATGCCGTACACACGCAAACAGGGCAATGAGGGGGGGGGGGGCGTGCTCATGCCCTAGCTGTTGGAACATTGACCACGTCCTCGAGAGAGCGGAGCATTGTTCCCACAGGACAGATCACCGATCGCCAATGGTTCCTTCCTCAAAAGCTGGCTAGAAACGATGTTTCCCTATATTATCTATCTATCAGGGCAATGCGTGAGCGGGGGAATAGGTGGTGGATGTGAGGGATATTCCGTTCACAATTTTCTATCTGCTCTCTCTCTTACTTGGGCTTGTACTGTAGACCCATCTTGCGGGCCAGGAGCTTGCGCCCCCCAAGGAGAACGATCCTTTTCCGGAGACGCCCCCGCCCCGCCTCTTTGAACGCCGTGAGTGTCGGCATCCTCTGCGCGCATGGAGCCAAAGCACACGCAACGATCAGGCAGCTCGTGAGCCGACAGCACAAACATGTTTCGGTAGTTCTCGTTGAAAAAAGAAAACAATACACTGCTGTGGTTACCTTCCTCCTGCGTGACTCCGACTGGTGCGTCAAACCTTATACCGAAATGCGTGGTAGCTGGCGCCTGGCAAAGATGAAACGAAAGCACACTCACACCAACAAGGTGCGGTTGCGAGCGAAGGCAGGGTCCGTGCTACATACAAACGTCACGAATAATTCAAACGTCAGTGTCACTGACGTCAACCACATTCCGGGGGAGGGGCGCTCTTCGACCCCCCTGTCATTCTCTCCTTTCTCGCTGAAGAACTCAATTTTCTCGGAGCGGTGCTGATGTACACGCTCGCCACTAGGATTCAAAAAAGGACGATGTTCCGCCTGCCGAGTCAACCCTAGCGTCTGTGGGTGGAGAGTCGTGCGCTGTGCGCGTTTCCCCATGAAGACCGCGATGACGTGTTCACGACCAACCTTGGTGCACAGTCTCGTCGGCCGAACCCCCGTGATATTCACGCACGTTGGCCTTTCCGTGTCCGAGGCACGCATGAACTCCATCGACGAGGAATCAAGGAAAAGAGGCGGCCTGATGCGAAAAAAAGTGGGATGGGCAACTGCTGTCGCACAACTCGCCCGCTCTGATTTGTAAAATCCCGAGATGGTACTGCGTGCTGGATGTGGCGGTCCTCCACTCCTTCCCTACCCCCCCATTAATCCCCAATACACACCTTCTGCAGGACCCCGTCCACGGTGAGGAATTCCTTCAGCTCTCGCAGAGTTTCCAGCTGGTCCGCGAAAGACTTCCACTCGATATGGTGTACCAGCCTGCATCAAGGCGCAGTCAGTCCACCGTCGATCGTAGTGCGGACACTCAACTCGGCGGTCGAGCGCCGGGATTTCAGCCGACTAGCAACAACACCAAAAGCAAGCGGCAACGACAACGACCACAGCAGCAACAGCCTCGGCTACAACAACAACAACAGCAACGGCAAGCGGCAAACGAAAAGGACCGTAGCAGCAACAGCCTCGGCTAGGACGACGACGACGACGACGACGATGACAACAGCAACAACAACAACAACAACGACAACAACAACAACAACAACAACAACAACAACAACAACAACAACAACAACAACAACAACAACAACAACAACAACAACAACAACAACGACATGAGGACTCACCCCAGGCGTTCAACGGCCGGATCATAGCCACCCGCCCTCTGAATCGCGTTCACGATATCCCGGCGTCCGTTATTGATCATGTCGATCAGTTTCACCATCCACACTGCCGGAAGTCCCTCCTCGAGCTGTCCAACACCAATCGGCAACAGTCGCACGTGGGAACGGCCAAAACAAAAGTTTAGGCACGTGTTCACAAAGCGGTTCAGGAAGCCGACCAAATTTCCCCTCAAGAAAAAACGTTTATTTGCTGCACAAAATCGATTGAAACAGTGAGTTCTTCCAAGAGAAGCGAAAAACGGTCTGTGTTTTGACACCCACGGCAGTGCGTGGAAAAAAAATAACGACACAACAAAAACCCCTTGAAGGAAATTGCGCGAGCAAGAGAGCCAGCTAGAACGCCGAGAGGACACGAAGGGTTTCGTGCCCGCAGGACTCGGCGAGAATTCCGGACGTCCATTTTGCCAAATGGTCCATGGGACGGACGAACTTTCACCGTGTACGTATCCACGGCACACACACCAAAATATCAAACATAGGCACCTGGTAGTTCGTGTTGAACGTCAACACTTCTCTCTCGAAGTTGTTGCCCGTGGTCCAGTAGCCGGAGGCGCACTTCTCCAGCATGTGCTTGCTGGCGCTGGCGCGGTTCCCCATCTCCAAAGCTTCTCTACTCGGCCAACCCTTCGTCGCGATCTTGATGAGCTCGGAGCCTCCTCCCTGGGGCCCCGCTGTTTTTATTTCGTCGGAACGGGGGGGATGGGGAGCAAGCGAACTCAATTATTGGTTAGTATTAGTTGTATTACCTTGATTTTTGTATTCCTTTCGACTAGTACGGGGACAACCATATGTCGTCGGAACCAGGGGGGGGGTGTACTCATAGTCGTGCATGCCGTAGTCGTTACGACCATTGACCTCGCATCCCTACAAAGCCGGGACGGAGCACGCCGGGTTCTCACCGGACCAGGCTCTCACATCACCAAGCGCGAAGCGCCGTGAGATATTCGGCGAGTCGCATGAAGGGTGCGCTGCATCCTG